TATATATATATATATATGTGTGTGTGTGTGTGTGTGTGTGTGTGTGTGTGTGTCTGTCACTACTACTTCAAAAAAGACAATATTTAACATCGAAAACCATAAGAAAAAATTAATTCATTTTAATAATATGTTGAAATATCCGCTCTTTGCCTGAAGAAAGAAGCGAGACCGGAAACCCGTGTAGCAAAATTTTGAAAAATAAAATATAGAATCTATGTGATGCTTAAGTTAATGTAACTGCACATGCGCATAAAGGAGGAGCAAAAACTGTAATTTAAGAAAGAATAAATTTATTTTTTAAAATATGTATTTGGATATATGACGCGTTCGGCGGAGGAAGGTCATATTCGACCAATAACCGAAAATTGCTTTTTTCACTGCAAATTATTCATTACATCATATCCAAATATTTTACAAAAAAATTAGAGCCGATTACAAAATATTTCAAGCTCAATTTAGCTTTATATTAGGTTGGTGCAAAAATAATGACGTAATAATGTCGTTTTTTGACATTTTTTTAACGTCAAAAAAGACATTATCGATCGTTATAATTCATATTTTAACAATGAAATGAAACGACCATAAACCGTAGATTTGTCCGTGGAATATCATTACATTATTGTTACATAATTAGAGTGAAATCATTAAGATTTTTTGTCAAAAGCTTTTTATTTTTGGTCGTATATTAATTTAAAATATTTCTTTTTAAAAGCTTTATTTTGGAAATGGAATAAGATCATTCTAAATTTCAGAAATCCGCTATTGACCATAAAAATGACTGGAAGAAAGCGATCTAAAATGGAAAAGAGAGGTAACAAAGCGTAAACGAAATAACTCCAATTTGTTCAACTTCGGAGACTTCGCATTGTAGCCAAAGTATTCTAAAATGCTGCCAATAGCAAAGAAGAAAATGAAAAAAAAAACAACAAATCGAATATAGCATCAAAATTTATATTATTTTTATTTATTTGTTATGTAACTAAATACATAATTGTCAACAATGTTTCCGTAAAACTTGATATTTCCTGTAATTAAGTCTTAAGAAATATTATTATTGTTATTGTTTTACTCAATTGTAAGGTAGTCCTACATTTGCAATTCCTTACGGCGAACTATGAAAAGAAATGTTGATCAAAGCTGCCTAAGACCTTTAAGCGCGTATTGGCACAAAATTATAAAAAGTTGAATACGCCCCTCCTCCGTCTCGGCCTCGGCCTTTTAGCTCAGCCGACTTATCATCTCTCAGTTGCGTCTCTGTCTTTGGGAAGAGTGCGCTCAGGGGCTTCTCTGCCAAAGGACAGAGGAGCAACTGAGAAAATTATACTGAAGAGGTGCCCAGCCCTGGGGAACAGCTGCCCGGGGACGCACCCTTCCATTACACCAGAGGGAGGGATCGGTGCTTGCACCAAGGCCAGCGCAACCGACGGTTGCGGGTGCTGAGGCAATTTTTGTCCATTGCTCGAGTGTACGCGCTCGGGTCCCCGCTTTAAAACGACCTTGTGTCACATCTCGTTCTGGTGATGGAAGGAGTAAACACCGCGTATAAATTAATGGGGGATTTCGCATGACTTATCATCTCTCAGTTGCGTCTCTGTCCTTGGACAGAGTGCGCTCAGTGTCTTCTTTGTCAAAGGACAGAAAGTCAACTGGGAAAATTATACTGAAGAGATGCCCAGCCCTGGGGAAAAGCTGCCCGAGGCTTCGCGCTCCAATTGCACCAGAGGGAGGGATCGGTGCTCACACCGAGGCCAGCGTAACCGACGGTTGCAGGGGCTGGGGCAATTTTTGTCCCTTGCCCGGGTTTACGCGCTCGGGTCCCCGCTTTAAAAAGACATTGTCTCACATATTGTCCTAGTGGGGGAACGAGTAAACATCGCACCTCCTCCGCCGAACGCGTCATATAGTTTAGCCAATTTACTTTCTTTTATTGTTTGTGTATATTCTTATCATTTTTGTTATTCCATATTGTGATAATAGATCTGCTGAGAAAGGTGAAATCTTGTAAGAATCTAGAAATTAAAGCACTTTCTATACATTTTAGTGTAAATAAATTGCTTTCACCTTTAATCAAAGTGGTATTTTTTAATCAAAATTATGGCAAGCAAATTACGCATTGAGTGTATTGCTTTGTAAAAGACCCCTCTGGAGTTCATGTAATCCTTTATTTAAATTCATCGACGTTTCTGTTATATATCCCTTGCGATAATTATTACAGGAAATATATATATATATATATATATATATATATATATATATATATATATATATATATATATATATGTGTGTGTAGAAATATAGTCTTAAGATGTGCTATATTTATGATAAAGTGCTCAATATCAGAGAGAGAGCATGTGTAAATAAAAAGTGGACATAGAAGTCAACACTTAGAGGTGACAGTCTGTCGCCTCTATGTTGACTCTATGTTCACTTATATATATATATATATATATATATATATATATAGTTAAACCTAGAGAGGCAGACAAACCTACCAAGGTTT